TTTTCTTGATGCACAGTTAACCTTTACATAAAACTCTCTCTTATACATGAGTTTCTGTGGATTTGTTTCTCTAAAGTACCCAGACTAATACAGGGACCTATCAACCAAAGAAGACTGCAATCACTGTGGTTTTGAATGTTCCATGTTACTTAGCAAAATAAGTAAAAACATTCAGACAGATTTGGTCTTTCTTGCTGGAGGTCAGACAGCATAAATCAAACTCTGTACGCTATAGGCACATCTTTTAAGATCCCTTTAAAAGAAACATAGAGTTGCCATGAGTGAAAATCAACTCAATAGTAATCGTTTTCCATTTTTCTTTTCAAAGCAATAAAAAATAGATTATATTTTGGAGATTATTGATTGCAAATATGTTCATTCAAAGCAAACAAACACCAAACATCAAAATGCAGCATTGTCCTTTAAAAAAGATTCATCTTGATTTGAGATATTCTTTCTAGGGACAATCAGTGGAGGATTTTTAAAAAGTGTTTCAACTCTAATGTCTTTAAAGAAAGAAACAAAGATACTATCTTCTGGAATCTGTCAGATGATTTGGAGGTGATCTTAGCGATGAGGAGATCACTGATCAAGAAGCACTTAATGAATGAGTAAAATTGTCTCGTGAAATATGAATATAGAAATCAACATTACATGCATGATTTAAAATAGCATATGCTTTTAAATAGATAATGTGTAAATTATCAAGAAACTATCATAATAGGGATCTATTTCATATGTATTCCTAGAAAGTTTATATAGCCAGATTCCCTAATAAGCTTTGTGAGGAAAAAGCTTTCAGAATTGCAGTCTGTTTCTGAACATAAAGGAAACAAAAATACAAATAAAATCTCTCTAGTCTAGTTGATAAGGAGCCCTTATCCTTACCCTGGCTCTGTCAGCTAAGCACTGGACTGCTAACTACAAGTTTGGTGGTTCAAACCCACCAGTTGTTCCTTGAAGGAAAAGGAGGTTGTCTGTCCACACCAAGATTCACAAAGTCTTGGGGACCCTGTATAAAGTCAATATGAGCAAGATTGATGAGTTTAGTGGATATGAAAGAAGCACATGTATTCTCTTCCCATCCAACATTAGGGGGAAAAATTGGCTCTGTTATAGCCTCTGAAGTTACAAACTCAAAGAAAGGTCTTTGTCTGCATCCTTGAGCCAAATAAGTGTACTGGGGTTGAAAGCCCCCAGTTACCCTAGTGAATCTAGGGACACAAAGAAATGTCCAAAAGTGCCTAGGGCTCTACACACTGATGCTCCTCTTTGAAGAATCACTGTGACTTTCCACTGACACTCAAGGATCTCCCTGTGTTTCAGAACTAAGAATGCTGAATCTGAACACCCATCTTTTAGACATTATGTTCTCACTGTAATTATGTGTATGTGTATCATTAAAGAAGCCTGTCCAACCACGAGGTGTAGAAGGGACCAGTTATCAGACATCAAAGTACTAAAAACCATATCAGTGGGTGCCCATCTTACTGACACAATCACTGAAGACAAACGTGTGCATAAGCAAATGTGGTGAAGAAAGCTAATGGTGCCCGGCTATCAAAAGATATAGCATCTGGGGTGTT